ACTCACAGTTGTCTCAGAGACTGCAGCACTTTGAGCTAAACGGAGGAATTGGTCTTGGTGTACATGGTGCTTGTGTACAAATGTGTGTTAATTAATACTAAACACACATTGAAGGGGAGGCTGTAGGGGATGTCATTACTTCTGCTGGTTGATCTGAAAGTATTGGACGAATACAACTTAGATTTGATGCTGGCTGTTGATGAAATATGGCGGTCGTGGCGAAGTCCATAGGGACTTGGCTTGGCAACTGGAAGGTCACCAGGTCGAGTCCCGGCAAGACCAAGTGCTACCGAGGTGTCCCTGAGCAAGGCACCGTTCCCTACACTGCTCCCCGGGCGCCGGACATAATGGCAGCCCACTGCTCCTAACACTAGGATGGGTCAAATGCAGAGGAACAATTTCGTTACATAGTACCTGTACTGTGAAATGACAAAAAGAGCAATTTATTATTTTTTATTTTATTATAAATGTAAGGAATCACCACATTTCTGGCCTTAAAACAAAGAAATAGAGATTAAAAACACTACAGCCCACAAACATAAACATGTCCACTCGCTTTGAATCAAAGAAGGGGATTATTCAAAGTCTGTACATTATGTTGTAATGAGATACTAAGAGAAAGGAGTCCGACCCAGGGATAAAGCTGCCACTCTTATAGTAGAACATATATTAACCAAATCAAAACATGTGGAAACACTTGTGTGAAAGTCTGTCTGACATGTATTTGATTGTTTGTGTCTCTTCAGATTAAAAGCCTCATGAGCAGAGCTGAATACCTCAAAAAGAATATCAAGGTAAGCATTCAGTAAAATCCAACTGAAGGATGAAAATACCCGTTATCTTCCGATTTGTTGACATCTGCAACAAAGAACACACACTATAAGATAAGATAAGATGTACTTTATTGATCTCAATTTGGGACATGTTTGCGTTGCAGCAGAAGACAAGGCATTGCACATTAGAGAAATTAAAAGACTAGAAATAAACAATCCGTAATGGAAACATCTCAAATAGAAATAAAATAGAAAATATACATTAAGAATTACAAATCTACTGTAAACTAAATATAAAGCAAGATATGATATATACATTAAGTGTGTAAGGATAGAATATTAAATTGAATATAAATGTACAGTGCGAGTTGTTTTACGTAACGATTAGGGTTAAGATGAAGACTTTTTGTGAATTGTTTCAATGAAGACAACGCTATGTAATGTCCATGCTTATCTTTGAGTTTGTGGTGATAACATGAATGTGTTTACTTTCCAGATGCAGGAGACTCAGAGTGACGCGTCTCTGGAGCGTGAATCTTTGGCAGACTCTGTCAGAAGCTGTGAGTTTCCCCGCTGTGTTGTACAAACGGTGTTTTTGAAAACCCTGCAGATAAGTAACTATATGGAGTTTTGCTACGGGAAGGTGGTGGGGGTCAGCTGAGGAATGGCCGCCTAAAAGTTACAAAGAAGTGTCCTTTCATTTCAGTTTGTTTTTCCACTAGTAAAATATGAGCCTTTTCTTGCTGTGCCGGACACCCCGCAGCACTGTCTGGCTCTTTGATTTCATTTCAGCGCTGCCCTCTTGTAAAGATAGTGACCCTGCTAACACAAACAGCAGAAACAGCAGCACACGTGTTCACTTTAAACCTCCAATACTCCAAAAAGTACATTTAATAAATTACTTAAAGGGGCCTTATTCTCACTTTCATTATATCAGTATGTAGTGTCTCTACTTTAAAGAGTCCTCTCCCGCTGATGTTCAGGTGTATATCAGTATGTAGTGTCTCTACTTTAAAGAGTCCTCTCCTGCTGATGTTCAGGTGTATGTAGTGTATCTACTTTAAAGAGTCCTCTCCTGCTGATGTTCAGGTGTATATCAGTATGTAGTGTCTCTACTTTAAAGAGTCCTCTCCTGCTGATGTTCAGGTGTATATCAGTATGTAGTGTCTCTACTTTAAAGAGTCCTCTCCTGCTGATGTTCAGGTGTATATCAGTATGTAGTGTCTCTACTTTAAAGAGTCCTCTCCTGCTGATGTTCAGGTGTATATCAGTATGTAGTGTCTCTACTTTAAAGAGTCCTCTCCTGCTGATGTTCAGGTGTATATCAGTATGTGGTGTCTCTACTTTAAAGAGTCCTCTCCTGCTGATGTTCAGGTGTATATCAGTATCTAGTGTCTCTACTTTAAAGAGTCCTCTCCTGCTGATGTTCAGGTGTATATCAGTATGTAGTGTCTCTACTTTAAAGAGTCCTCTCCTGCTGATGTGCAGATGTATATCAGTATGTAGTGTCTCTACTTTAAAGAGTCCTCTCCTGCTGATGTTCAGGTGTATATCAGTATGTAGTGTCTCTACTTTAAAGAGTCCTCTCCTGCTGATGTTCAGGTGTATATCAGTATGTAGTGTCTCTACTTTAAAGAGTCCTCTCCTGCTGATGTTCAGGTGTATATCAGTATGTAGTGTCTCTACTTTAAAGAGTCCTCTCCTGCTGATGTTCAGGTGTATATCAGTATGTAGTGCCTCTACTTTAAAGAGTCCTCTCCTGCTGATGTTCAGGTGTATATCAGTATGTAGTGTCTCTACTTTAAAGAGTCCTCTCCTGCTGATGTTCAGGTGTATATCAGTATCTAGTGTCTCTACTTTAAAGAGTCCTCTCCTGCTGATGTTCAGGTGTATATCAGTATATAGTGTCTCTACTTTAAAGAGTCCTCTCCTGCTGATGTTCAGGTGTATATCAGTATGTAGTCTCTACTTTAAAGAGTCCTCTCCTGCTGATGTTCAGGTGTATATCAGTATGTAGTGTCTCTACTTTAAAGAGTCCTCTCCTGCTGATGTTCAGCTGTATATCAGTATGTAGTGTCTCTACCTTAAAGAGTCCTCTCCTGCTGATGTTCAGGTGTATATCAGTATGTAGTGTCTCTACTTTAAAGAGTCCTCTCCTGCTGATGTTCAGGTGTATATCAGTATGTAGTCTCTACTTTAAAGAGTCCTCTCCTGCTGATGTTCAGGTGTATATCAGTATGTAGTGTCTCTACTTTAAAGAGTCCTCTCCTGCTGATGTTCAGCTGTATATCAGTATGTAGTGTCTCTACCTTAAAGAGTCCTCTCCTGCTGATGTTCAGGTGTATATCAGTATGTAGTGTCTCTACTTTAAAGAGTCCTCTCCTGCTGATGTTCAGGTGTATATCAGTATGTAGTGTCTCTACTTTAAAGAGTCCTCTCCTGCTGATGTTCAGGTGTATATCAGTATGTAGTGCCTCTACTTTAAAGAGTCCTCTCCTGCTGATGTTCAGGTGTATATCAGTATGTAGTGTCTCTACTTTAAAGAGTCCTCTCCTGCTGATGTTCAGGTGTATATCAGTATGTAGTGTCTCTACTTTAAAGAGTCCTCTCCTGCTGATGTTCAGGTGTATATCAGTATGTAGTGTCTCTACTTTAAAGAGTCCTCTCCTGCTGATGTTCAGGTGTATCTCTACTTTAAAGAGTCCTCTCCTGCTGATGTTCAGGTGTATATCAGTATGTAGTGTCTCTACTTTAAAGAGTCCTCTCCTGCTGATGTTCAGGTGTATATCAGTATGTAGTGTCTCTACATGTCTCCATGCTCTAATGTTCAAAAAGCTCTTTATTTTTCTCATACTGCCTGTGCTGCAGCACCTCTTTTCACCCTCTGTCTGAAACCAGAGCCCAGTCTGCTCTGATTGGTTAGCTGGCCGGCTCTGTTGTGATTGGTCAACCAGCTCAGAGATGTCCCTCCCCTTAGCCTATCACGTACAATGTGTTGGAGCGAAAGCCAATAGAAGCGCGAGTGTTACAAAGCGATGTCACTTGCCCAAGGATACATCGACATGTTGACACTTTTTAAACCTATTTACAATATAAAAACAACTCAACTGGAACCTCCCTGTCCGTGCACTTTATTAACACTCTTATACACTATATACAAAGCAGTGTGTTTTTGATATACATTTTAACATGCTTTAACCTTCCTCCCTGTAATCCATCATGATTGGATTATAGTGGAAACCTAAAGCCCCACAATATCCTGTTCTCTGCAAGAAACTCTTGGGGAATTATGGATTTAAAAAATAAGGGTTTTTTGGGGGGGGAGGCCATGACTCTAGTGGCCGATCAAGTTTCATGAAGAATGTGCTTCTTCTTCTTCTGCTGTTATTTTAGTCAAACCATGGCAGCAGAGAGAGAAACGCCCGGTCTGCTGACCTCAGGATAACCCAGCTGCTCCTTTCTGATGAAAACACGACATATGTTTGTCTTATATACTTTACATTCAAATTCAAAGGCTTTATTATTGTCCTATGCACAGGACAGTGTAGATATCACACACTAAAAAAGGATTCCTACCTATTTCTGGTAATTAGAATAGCGATCATTAAATACACTTTAGCTAATGTGCACGTGGAAAAAAATTGAAAAGCGCTATTAAAATCCAATGTATTATTATTAAGACAATAAAGCCTTGAATCGTGTCCACAGGTGGGCAGGGGTTGCATGCAAAAAAGTCACTTTAAACCATTTCTATCACATTTCAATGTTGAGATTTCACAGTTTAAAGGTCACCTATTATGCAAAATGCACTTGTTCATGTCTCTTCTACATCAACATGTGTCCCCTCTTCTTCATGTCTCTTCTACATCAACATGTGTCCCCTCTTCTTCATGTCTCTTCTACATCAACATGTGTCCCCTCTTCTTCATGTCTCTTCTACATCTACACGTGTCCCTTCTTCTTCATGTCTCTTCTTCATCAACATGTGTCCCCTCTTCTTCATGTCTCTTCTACATCAACATGTGTCCCCTCTTCTTCATGTCTCTTCTACATCAACATGTGTCCCCTCTTCTTCATGTCTCTTCTACATCAACATGTGTCCCCTCTTCTTCATGTCTCTTCTACATCAACATGTGTCCCCACTTCTTCATGTCTCTTCTACATCAACATGTGTCCCCTCTTCTTCATGTCTCTTCTTCATCAACATGTGTCCCCTCTTCTTCATGTCTCTTCTACATCAACATGTGTCCCCTCTTCTTCATGTCTCTTCTTCATCAACATGTGTCCCCACTTCTCCATGTCTCTTCTACATAAACATGTGTCCCCTCTTCTTCATGTCTCTTCTACATCAACATGTGTCCCCTCTTCTTCATGTCTCTTCTTCATCAACATGTGTCCCCACTTCTCCATGTCTCTTCTACATCACCATGTGTCCCCTCTTCTTCATGTCTCTTCTACATCAACATGTGTCCTCTCTTCTTCATGTCTCTTCTACATCAACATGTGTCCCCTCTTCTTCATGTCTCTTCTACATCAACATGTGTCCCCACTTCTTCATGTCTCTTCTACATCAACATGTGTCCCCTCTTCTTCATGTCTCTTCTTCATCAACATGTGTCCCCTCTTCTTCATGTCTCTTCTACATCAACATGTGTCCCCTCTTCTTCATGTCTCTTCTTCATCAACATGTGTCCCCACTTCTCCATGTCTCTTCTACATAAACATGTGTCCCCTCTTCTTCATGTCTCTTCTACATCAACATGTGTCCCCTCTTCTTCATGTCTCTTCTTCATCAACATGTGTCCCCACTTCTCCATGTCTCTTCTACATCAACATGTGTCCCTTCTTCTTCATGTCTCTTCTACATCAACATGTGTCCCCTCTTCTTCATGTCTCTTCTACATCAACATGTGTCCTCTCTTCTCCATGTCTCTTCTACATAAACATGTGTCCCCTCTTCTTCATGTCTCTTCTACATCAACATGTGTCCCCTCTTCTTCATGTCTCTTCTACATCAACATGTGTCCTCTCTTCTTCATGTCTCTTCTACATCACCATGTGTCCCCTCTTCTTCATGTCTCTTCTACATCAACATGTGTCCTCTCTTCTTCATGTCTCTTCTACATCAACATGTGTCCCCTCTTCTTCATGTCTCTTCTACATCAACATGTGTCCCCTCTTCTTCATGTCTCTTCTACATAAACATGTGTCCCCTCTTCTTCATGTCTCTTCTTCATCAGCATGTGTCCCCTCTTCTCCATGTCTCTTCTTCATCAACATGTGTCCCCTCTTCTCCATGTCTCTTCTTCATCAACATGTGTCCCCTCTTCTTCATGTCTCTTCTACATCAACATGTGTCCCCTCTTCTTCATGTCTCTTCTTCATCACCATGTGTCCCCTCTTCTTCATGTCTCTTCTTCATCACCATGTGTCCCCTCTTCTTCATGTCTCTTCTACATCAACATGTGTCCCCTCTGTGTAAAGAGACTCTGAAAGTTTCAGGAACAAAGATTCTCTCTCTTTTTGATCCATTTATATAAAAACCTGTCTGAAAATGAGCTGATCAGATTTTGGACACTTTATGATGTCCTAACGATGTGTTGTCTTGTGTAACCATTAGCCAATCACCAACCAAGGTAACCCCCCCCCCCCCCACCTTATCCCCTGAATCTCCTCCTAGAGCACCATTGTGTTCTTTGTAACCAAATCTCTCTCAGAGGGGCGTGGGGAGGGGCTCCTTATTTCCATCTAAAGTAACAGACAGAGAATCAGCACTTTGGAAACAGGGCTGAAACAGAGGGGATTATGGGATGCTGCAATGATCTGTTTGGTGTTTCAGCCAATCAGAGACAGGCTCTGGATATATCTGAGACCTGTGATATATTGATGAAAAACAGTATAATAGGGGACCTTTAATGTTAGTTTTCCTTTGGGAATCAGAGAGTCTAAATCAGATCATGTTTTCCTGAAGGCAGCAGCAGTTTCTGTGGACGACCGACGTGGTTTCTTCTGCCACAGAATCCACTCAGCTGCAGCATCTAAAATACAGCACTACATTTAAACTGGGCAATGTTGTGTCGTCGTGGAAAAAAAACCTAACACACATCAATCATTTGTGTTTTCTCAGCTTGCTGTGTGCAGTGAGGCTGACGGTCACCGTGGGAACTGATGACGTACACACACACTTCTCCTGAACACACACACACACACACACACACACACACACACACACACACACTCTTCACCTGATCATATGATGGGAGAAAGCAGCTGCTTCCAGATGTGGTCGATGTCGTGGTTGTTCCTGGAAAGTTGTGTTTGGCAGGTCCTCTTCCTCTTCCTCTTCCTCCTCCTCCTCTTCCTCCTGCTCTTCCTCTTCCTCCTCCTCTATTCATATGTAAATGCTGGACAGCTTGTACTCTGTCATGGTAAACGAGTTACACAAAGAGTTGCATTTATTTTAGCGGAAAACACTCAACGGTATTTAGAGTACACCTAAAAACTGTGAAAATACAATCAAATGGGACTATAGGGTAATACAGGCAAAAACATATTTTGCTACCATAACATGTCTTCTTTGCAAAAAGTGGAAAGAAAACATCATAAATGCACGTTAAGATGTTCATAATAGTAACTTTATCTCTAGATTTATCTTAAACCAACCAAAAGTTAGCATTACATAAAGCCTAATTTGCATATTTCAGCATTTCTGGAAAAACTTGTAATACAAAATACAATTGTCTTTAAGTTAATAATAAAAAGTTTCATGTTGATATGTAGTCGTGTTTTTTTTACCCTATTGATCTGTAGTGTCGTACTAGAAGCCAAAAACCTCCATTTCAGTAGCACTTAGAAACACGACACTCCCCAGTTTCATTACATCTACATTCTGAAGGACTTCACACACGGTTGATCACTTTTTGCCTGATTTATATTACACTTTACTCCCGAAAACATTTTTCTATTTTGACGGCTTTTGCCAGTATTTGTTGACTTATTGAGTGACTGATAAGCATGTAGTGTCTCTACTTTAAAGAGTCCTCTCCTGCTGATGTTCAGGTGTATATCAGTATGTAGTGTCTCTACTTTAAAGAGTCCTCTCCTGCTGATGTTCAGGTGTATATCAGTATGTAGTGTCTCTACTTTAAAGAGTCCTCTCCTGCTGATGTTCAGGTGTATATCAGTATGTAGTGTCTCTACTTTAAAGAGTCCTCTCCTGCTGATGTTCAGGTGTATATCAGTATCTAGAGTCTCTACTTTAAAGAGTCCTCTCCTGCTGATGTTCAGGTGTATATCAGTATCTAGAGTCTCTACTTTAAAGAGTCCTATCCTGCTGATGTTCAGGTGTATATCAGTATGTAGAGTCTCTACTTTAAAGAGTCCTCTCCTGCTGATGTTCAGGTGTATATCAGTATGTAGAGTCTCTACTTTAAAGAGTCCTCTCCTGCTGATGTTCAGGTGTATATCAGTATGTAGTGTCTCTACTTTAAAGAGTCCTCTCCTGCTGATGTTCAGGTGTATATCAGTATGTAGTGTCTCTACTTGAAAGAGTCCTCTCCTGCTGATGTTCAGGTGTATATCAGTATGTAGTGTCTCTACTTTAAAGAGTCCTCTCCTGCTGATGTTCAGGTGTATATCAGTATGTAGTGTCTCTACTTTAAAGAGTCCTCTCCTGCTGATGTTCAGGTGTATATCAGTATGTAGTGTCTCTACTTTAAAGAGTCCTCTCCTGCTGATGTTCAGGTGTATATCAGTATGTAGTGTCTCTACTTTAAAGAGTCCTCTCCTGCTGTTGTTCAGGTGTATATCAGTATGTAGTGTCTCTACTTTAAAGAGTTCTCTCCTGCTGATGTTCAGGTGTATATCAGTATGTAGTGTCTCTACTTTAAAGAGTCCTCTCCTGCTGATGTTCAGGTGTATATCAGTATGTACTGTCTCTACTTTAAAGAGTCCTCTCCTGCTGATGTTCAGGTGTATATCAGTATGTAGTGTCTCTACTTTAAAGAGTCCTCTCCTGCTGATGTTCAGGTGTATATCAGTATGTAGTGTCTCTACTTTAAAGAGTCCTCTCCTGCTGATGTTCAGGTGTATATCAGTATGTAGTGTCTCTACTTTAAAGAGTCCTCTCCTGCTGTTGTTCAGGTGTATATCAGTATGTAGTGTCTCTACTTTAAAGAGTTCTCTCCTGCTGATGTTCAGGTGTATATCAGTATGTAGTGTCTCTACTTTAAAGAGTCCTCTCCTGCTGATGTTCAGGTGTATATCAGTATGTACTGTCTCTACTTTAAAGAGTCCTCTCCTGCTGATGTTCAGGTGTATATCAGTATGTAGTGTCTCTACTTTAAAGAGTCCTCTCCTGCTGATGTTCAGGTGTATATCAGTATGTAGTGTCTCTACTTTAAAGAGTCCTCTCCTGCTGATGTTCAGGTGTATATCAGTATGTAGTGTCTCTACTTTAAAGAGTCCTCTCCTGCTGATGTTCAGGTGTGTATCAGAGATATAGATAATGCCCTCTATATATGTCAACAAAATAACCCTTACTATCAAATGTTGTACTACCAAACGGATTCAGATCTATATTTATTGTGATGGTTTTACAGAAGGGTTTGATCCCTTTTTGCCTTATTTATATTACACTTTATTCCTAAAACATGACGAAAATAAAAGTTTTGATGGATGTTGACATTTCTTTTTGATTTGAGTAAAACCTACATATTCAATCATAACCTCACAGACAACATGTTATACAAGTAAATACTGACTTAATGTTAGTTATCAGGTTTCACGGTGATATCTATAGTGTCTTGCAAAATGAATTTAAAATCATGTTGTTTCTCAAAATAAGATCCAAAAACCTCCACTTCAGTAACATCTGCATTTCAATCAGGAGAGACGGTGTTGATGAAAGAATACATATTTATTTCCAGGAATACACAAATGAATGTAATGGAGTTTTGGCGATTAGGCCCCGTTGTGCAGGAGTATCATTCGGGAGGGGAGAACCGATCCGATGAAACCCCCCGGGGTCTAGACCCTGGTGGTGGTGAATGGATAGTTGGGGTCGGTCTGAAGGGGAGTGGCTTAGCTTGACCCTGGTGGTGGTGAATGGATAGTTGGGTTCGGTCTGAAGGGGAGGGGCTTAGCTTGACCCTGGTGGTGGTGAATGGATAGTTTGGTCGGTCTGAAGGGGAGTGGCTTAGCTTGACACTGGTGGTGGTGAATGGATAGTTGGGTTCGGTCTGAAGGGGAGTGGCTTAGCTTGACCCTGGTGGTGGTGAATGGATAGTTGGGGTCGGTCTGAAGGGGAGGGGCTTAGCTTGACCCTGGTGGTGGTGAATGGATAGTTGGGTTCGGTCTGAAGGGGAGTGGCTTAGCTTGACCCTGGTGGTGGTGAATGGATAGTTGGGTCGGTCTGAAGGGGAGTGGCTTAGCTTGACACTGGTGGTGGTGAATGGATAGTTGGGGTCGGTCTGAAGGGGAGGGGCTTAGCTTGACCCTGGTGGTGGTGGTGAATGGATAGTTGGGTTCAGTCTGAAGGGGAGGGGCTTAGCTTGACCCTGGTGGTGGTGAATGGATAGCTGGGGTCGGTCTGAAGGGGAGTGGCTTAGCTTGACCCTGGTGGTGGTGGTGAATGGATAGTTGGGGTCGGTCTGAAGGGGAGTGGCTTAGCTTGACCCTGGTGGTGGTGAATGGATAGTTGGGGTCGGTCTGAAGGGGAGGGGCTTAGCTTGACCCTGGTGGTGGTGAATGGATAGTTGGGGTCGGTCTGAAGGGGAGGGGCTTAGCTTGACCCTGGATCCAGAGGGACAGGAGGTGAAGATGGGTGGAGGAGGGTTGCGTCGAGTCACCTGAAATGACAGCTGTCAGAGGGGAGAGCAGATTTAAAAGGGTTAGCGGAGCGCTATGATAGGCTTGTGAGAATAGAGCGAAGTGATTGGTTAAGCTGGGGAGTGACGCCCCCGATCACTTATTGAGAGGAGAGAGAGTAGTTACATGGAAATAGTAAATGAATGAGAAAAGACAGTCTTCCTGGTTGAACTTGCGCTGAGCTTCATACAGCAGAGTTTTGAGTTTCATTCCCATAAGTATTTAGAAAAATGTGTTCAGAGGAATTTGTTAATATATCATTCATAGCCTGATTTATGTCAAATGTTATTCCTAAAAACATGCTGAAAACTGATCTTTTTTTATGGTTGCTAGAAGTGTTTGCTGATTTATGAAGTGATGATAAGATATATTAATAATGCCCTCTGTAAAAAAAAAACGAAATGTCTGGAAAATGAAACAAGAATTTAGATTCGGTTCACATTTCTGTTCTGGGAAATGTATGCAAATTAGCACAGATATAATAAGTAAACGCCTTATGTGCATATATAATCCTGAACGTACAGAAAACTTGTAATACAAAAAAGGCTAACTTACTGTAACGTAACCCACTGGAGAAGATTCAAAGTGATATCTTTACGTCTACATTTTTCCCCCATTGACATGCAGTGTCTCCCTTTAGACGGACCCCATCAGTTTTGCATTATTAAGTATTTTATATCTCTGCCTTCCTGCGGCTCACCACAGGCTCAACATGCTCTCTGCCTTATTTACACTAGACCTGCATTTTTCTTAGGTTTGGCAGCGGCTGGGAATTTGAGGGATTCAGAGAGTCTGAAGCAGAGCCTTTTATAAGGTCTGAAAGCACTGGCGTTACTTTGTGAATATCATTATTTCATTTCATTTCATTTGTATTTGTTCCGTTCAACTTAATGCATAATTTAATGCATAACAATTATTTACAAAACATGTCTCTGTAAACACACCCTACCCGAAAAGGAGCAGGGAGAAGAAAATAATCTTATATTACCTGCCCCGTTCTCAAAAAAAATAGAAATAGAAATAGATGGTCTGTCCTTCATATGTTCTTATTCACAGCCAATCATAACAGTGTCGTAGGAAAATAAGAGAAACACAAAAACGTACAAAAAATACTTAGTTCCCACTTGACATTTAATGGAAAGAAACCAGACAACAAAACAACACATGAACAAGTAAAAGTGCAACATCTGAGTCCAACTGGAGTAGAAAGGGGAAAGCGGTGCATCATCATAATAATAATGATAATAATAATATAATCAAGGCGACTGGAGAAAATCCCTAAAAACGAGGAGAAGTGAAAACATGTCTGCTGGCGAAAGATTTCCACTCTGCTGTGTTGTTGTTTTTGAATGTTTATACAGCTGTGAATTTTTATATTTTGTGTATTTAATATCTTTCAAACGGGGAAATAAAACCTGGTTGTGTAACTTCTTCAGACGTTTTGTCCGATCTCAGCTTTCAGGACTTCTGGAAAGACTTTCGGGAGAAACGTTGCTGGCTCTCGTCCACCAGAGGAAGGCAGACAGGAAAATAAGGACATTTGATAACAACATGATTTATGTGGAAGTCGTATGGAAACTGAAACTGAAATGTCTAGATCTAAAAGCCTGGGATCTTCTATGTAATGCACTTGTCTCCTTAACATGCTAATGGATGTTTACAGTACTTCAGAAGTTGCATTTTCTTTTCTTCTTATTGCTCATAATCAGCCAATACTGTTGCACCTTTTCTCCGGAGAAGAAAAATGTACACTCAAGTGGAAATTAAGCATGTTAAAAAATACTGAAAGGAATATAGATAACCAATTTAAAAGATGTAAGAAGTCTGGATTAGTGCCAGAAACAAGTTTAGTCACTAAAT